TGAAAAACGTATTATGAATTACAATCAAGATTTAGCACAATATGGTGGCCAATATTTATCACGTTTATGGGAAACAAAAATTTTATCACCAGAAAATATGCAAAGTGGAATGACTAATGTTCAAGTACCAACAACAAATTTTACAATATGTCAAATGTTAGTCAATGAATTATATAATACTTATGATACAATGGTTAGTGGAGCTAGTAATATTGCTCCTGAACTTGGTGATATTCCATGTTATTTACGATTATCAGCACAGATTTATCAAGAGAAAAATGATTGGCATGTATTGGGTGCATTGGTTACGAAATTATTAAAACAATTTAATAATAATGTACCAAAAGAATATGTTTCAAAATTATAAGACATTAATTTTTTATTGTATGTATTAATAAGACTAAAATAAATCATCTAAACAGCTACACATTAATAGTTGTTTTCTTTACACTCTTATCACATGTCTGTTTATTCACATATGAAATAATTAGAGACCATATGAGAATTATTTTCAACGTGTCTAATGAACTTATTTATTCGAAATCTGATTTTTTTTGTTTCGCTGATATATACATCGAGGGTGTGTGTAGGTTTGGGTGTGAGCGTGGGTGTAAGTATATACTCATCCCATACCACATTCCCATCCACCCACACCCTCAAGATGGTGATTGTTCATAAGAAAAGCTCTTTTCCGAAATTTTTACAGCCCAGTACACAGACGAATTATTGAAAAAAATCAAATCAATCTGTGAAAACTTGCGAGATATTTGTGAAATAGTAAATAGCTCATTTATTCCAGTGCACCGCAAGATAAGAACATGAAAGAAGAAAAGGAAAATATTTTATCATTCTAGATCACTTAACCAAATTAAACTACAGAGAAAAGATATGGCTGCTCCTACTGCATCGCCATCAAATTCTATTACTGTAAACACGTTGATGGATGAGAAGTTCGCAGAAATCTATACAGGTGATGAAACCCACGTCCGAGTATTGGATAATGGACGAACTTTCGAGAATTTTCGATTTGGTGCCTGTGCATGTGCCGTTGGTGTTCATTCGTATTCGTCTGGTGTTCACAGTATCCGAATCAAGATTCGTAAGGGCAACCCAATTTTGGGTATTCATGCACGAAATATACCACCTATAGCAGATCATTATTCAAGAGGTTCCTATGGTATTGACCCTTCGACATACGGCTTTGAAATAGATCTTGGTCGTGTTCTCAATGGACGACTGAAACGGAAAGACTTGGAAGAATTACGATTTGGAAGAACTGATATCGTATACACACTCATATTGAACTGCGATGAACACCGATTAAGTTTAATAGAGGAAGAAAATGGAGAGCGCGATGAGGTTGAAGTTGATATTTCGCGTGCTCCTTTTCCTTGGTGCTTTTTTATCGCTCTTCCTCAAAAACTAACTCTTGTATCACTGATATGAAGATCTGAATAAAAAATCATGATATTTTTTTATTTACATTATCGCTATATGAGCCGTTACACGTCAGCTACGACATAATTAAACGAAAGCTGCTCAATCGATCTCGTCTAATTTCTCTAACTTTCATACATGCAATAGACGCAAGGGTGAAGTGTGTTTATTATGAGGTTTCTACGATTATAGTTTCGACCATTGCCAAGGGTGTGGGTGAGAATATGAGGAAAAGTACCATGATTGATTATATTCTTGCTCGAGAAAGTTATCAAATCTTGTTTTAACGTCAATTCAGATTTGAGTATCCAAATCGAGAAGAAAAGCCTGTTATTATTCGAAATCAATGGAAATTCATAAGCCTAATAGCAGTGTCAGACTAGCTATTATGATCACGATTTCGACCTTGCTTAAGGGTCTCATCAGATGACAAAGACTAAGTTAATTCAAAAGAATCGAACTAGACTTTTGTACATCGTTAAAAATCGTTATCAAAGACAACTAGATGCAATAGTAGAGTCACTTAGCAGTAGTGAGAACACCTTCCATGAGTGCGAATGCTGAGACTGCTGCAACGTTAATAAATTGAAGGGTAACAGTTCAGATGAACTTACACCGGTTTACTCCCGATTCGTCCCTAATTGATCAATTAAGAAGTTTGTCATTTTTAATTGATTCCCAACTCGTCTCTAACATAAATAATTCGTATTTAATCGATTCTCAATTCGTCCCTTATCGATTTCTCTCTATTCAGTTACTAATTAAGTTCAGTATTATTGAGAAGTTATGTTTCTCTATCATAGAGTTATATTTAACAAAAATTACAATACATTATCATTTATAGTAGTAAGATTTTTCTCTTTTGATGCATAATAACAAATCTTTCCATAACTTTCAGATGATGTGAATCGAAGCATAACAAATTAAATACAACCACGCCAATAGATTATAGATACACGTTTGTTGAGTTTGTAAAGCGTTGCTGTATATTAATTGTTTCTTTCGTAAATTTAACTGATACTCTTACACATGAAACAGCAAATATTTATATCAGAGATTATGTAAGGTGGAATATTCCAAGATATATCTTAATGCACTTGGAAAATATCAAAGTCATTCTATACAAGAGAAATCACTAGGAGAAAATACCTGACAGAAAGAAAGAAAAAAATATATACTTGACGATATATATATATATACGTGTAGGAAAGAAAGAGAACAAATACATATATGTAAAATTCCCTTAATTGTTAGAGAGAAATCGAAAAGGAACGACTTCAGAATCAATAAAATACGACTTTTTTAATCAAGGGACGAATTGGGAATCGATTAAATACGACATCTTTAACTAAGGGACGAATTGGGAATCAATTAAAAATGAGAAATTTTTTGATAAATCAATTTGGGACGAATCGGGAGGATCCCCTTACACCCTCTGGACATAATTTTTTCTGAAAAAAATCCATTTAAATGATGTTTCCATTAAATGGTGTGCATTACATCATTTTGTTCCACTTTTCTCTTTTATTGGATGAATCATATGACGTCATGTTTTCTTTTCCTTTCTGTTTTTTTCTGTTTGATTGGAAAAATCATACCAATGATGAATATTTATACTGAAGACAAGTTTGTAGTAAGCATTACTTCTCTATCGTTACATTCAAGCAAACAACACAGGCAAAACAATGATGATTAAAAATACTATTATCTGGCTCGATGCAAATTCTTCGGATCCAGAAAGTAGTTTCCATACGAAACTAGGAAATGTCCAAACATTTATAGATGTTCAAGACTGTATTAAATATATTCAATCACATTCAAATGAATCAATTTATCTTATTGTCTCAGGTTCACTTGCAAAACTAGTCACACCGGAAATTTATGATTGTTCAAATCTTATACAAATCTTTCTTTTTTGTGGATCAGTATCTACTTATGCAGAGTGGGCAATGGATTATTGTGATAAAATGATGATATTTGATCATGGAGATGATCTTTTGGAACGATTATGGAATGATTTAGAAAGTAATTTACGCAAACAAGCAAACCTTTATTTGAAATATGCGGAAGAACATAAACAGCGAGCTTTGAAATATAAGCAATCAGCTTGTGGTTAAAATAATATATTCCATAACATATGATTTACTTTTTTTGTTAATAAAAACATATCTGTCCAACAGAACTTTGAAAGTCAATTTTCTATTATTTTTGTACCCGAATAATACATTGAATGATTTCGAAGTTTTCCTATACAACTTTAAAGTAAAACGGTAAATTCTTGAGGATGGGTGTGAGCATGGGAATTTTATGAATAGAATTATAGAGTCAAATCGTCTGCCGAAATATTAATACATAAACATATAATATGCACAACATTTGATTGTAACATTTTATTTAAAAACATGCAAAAGATCAGATTTTAATCGATTATATCAGTACAATGCCTCAAATGTGATAGTATTGATGAATATGAAAATATTCTTCGTAGTTATAAAGAAAGTTTTCATTTATTCTATAGAATCATTACGAATTCATATCTATCTATTTACATCATTTTCGATCAGCTTCTGATACCAAGATATAAAATGTTATAATTATATTTCTGTAAATTATTCAAATATTCTAATTGATTTGGCTATATGACTCTCAAATCACTGGTACGCTAATAACAGGTAGTATTAGATCAAGAAAATCTTCACGTACCACGAATAGTGTATTTTTTTGAAGATGATATAACAAGACGATATAGTCCAAAATCTTATTGTATGATTAACAGCTGGAGAAAACTAGCTCATTTAAAGTTGAATCCGTTCAACAGGATCAGAAATTTAGAATACAAACATATTTTCTTTTAATTACAAGAATATTTTTCTTGATTGATGACGTCTAAAGACACTTTTCTGATAATCTACTTTCTTCCAAAGCGCATACACTTATTTTCAGCATTTCTAAGAAAGTGGATTTATCCATATCTTCTAAAAGTGTGTCATGGTATTTTTTCCCTTTCTGTTATGGTTTTATCCAATATATACATATATATATAACTGTCGTTATATGTATGTGTCAGAGGTGCAGAACCTTCCTCGTCCGTCCCCACGCAAGGAGGGAATTCTCGTAGAATTGTGGGGAAGTTTTCGAAGTTTAACTTGGGAATTTCCTTGAAAAAACTTCCCCGGGGTGGGAATATTTGATTTTTTGGAACATTCTGCACATCTGGTATGTGTTTTACATATTTCTTTTTATCTTTCGTTCTCTCTATCGATTGTTTCTCTTTTTCTTTCCTTCAATAAACATACCTTTTCCGAAGATCGTATTTTATTGAATATCAAGACGTGGTAGCATTAAATAAGAGTTTATGTCTCTACTTAAGTAGATAACAACAATGAAAAATACAAAAAAAAAGAATATAGGTTGGATCAGAAAAATAAATTTTATTCATGTTAGTTGATTATCATATCCTATTGAAGTAAATTTTTGTCAAAAAGAATGTAATACACTCTAGCCAACAACAAAATAACATATAAATTTATTTTTATTGAAAATTCCATTGAGTCAATCAATGATCAAGTCATATTATTTTTTCTCCAATATTTACCACTCAATCATCGCATTTCAAATTCTTTTCAGTGTGTAACAAAAAAAAATATATACACAACAAGCTAAACAATTGATAAGTAATATGCAAATAAACTTTATGGGTATTGATATTATTAACGTTTTATTTTACATCTATATATATAAAGAAGAATGTTTGTTTGTCTGTTTGTTCTTTATGCATTTGGAGACCGTACGAGCAAATTCAATGAAACTTTCCAGAAATGATATCTACACGCAGCGAAAGGTCGACATGTACTTTTTTCCAAAAAAAAATGAATCCTTCGCTTGCTACAGGCAACCTATAAAACTGATCAATAGGATTGCAGCGTTTGAAAAATTTAAAAAAAATTAATAGCGAAGGCCGTCTGAGCGCATATCTTCTGTTCGCTATGCATTCAGTCCATCCAATAGCTATGATCACCAAACTTTCCACAATGCTTCCTTAGGTCCCAAGAAAGATCGACGGGGCGTTGGCATAGTCATCGAAGAGAGGGGGCATGATTGAAACTTTACCCAGGTGGTTCTGTTATAGCTAACGTCACCAAACCATCAATCACACTTCTGTATATAAAAGGAAAAGTGGCGAGGGGATCGGATACGAAAGGTGCTTGAAATATAAATATTTTGCAGTAGGTACGGTTTCAGAGGGTTTTTATAGCGACAACTGTATGAGAGAGAGTTTGCTGCGGGAACTGTAAGACAAGGATTTTACAGAGAGAACTGTGTAAGAGAGAATTTGCAGCGGGCATATCCTCTAGTTTTCTTATACTATCTAGATGCGATCTCTCTCAGCAGTGTTCAGATTTCCGAGAAAGGTAAATTTCGGAAAATACTGACTATTTCCTCCAACATCTTTCCACATAAGTCTTCATACAACCATACATCAATCAGATACAACATATTTTCACAAAAATTCTATATCTAACAAACTATATCAGCAACTACCAGTCACAGCAAAAACATCCCATATACAACAGCCTTCTTAACTCTCCCAAGTTCCGACAAATAAAGCACATCACAAAAAACAAATTACAGATATTACAAGGAAATTTCTTATTAACCCCTTAACTGTTAAGTTTATTTTTGCTAACTAAAAATCATTTTTTTTTGAAATTTTACAGATTTATAGTTATCTAAGACTAATGAGCCTTTTGTTCATATATATATCTTTATTTATATATATAAGACAAATGTTACTTTTGAGTAAAAAATAGAAAAACATCTCTTCCTGTAATTTTTTCTCAAAACTAAACGTTTTATTTCTCTAATAGATTGATTGTCGCTCACCAACTATTGTAAAATATACATTTACAGCAATATATGCGAACGATTATCCATATGAGTCTATTTAGAATGATTGAAAAAGAACAATCTCTATCATACACTTGACATACATTTTGAAATAATAAGTATCAATTCAAAAACTCGTGCTGAGAACATGGAACTTCATCAGATGTAAATTAAAATACATTTTATATAGGAAAATATCATTAATAGAATATTTTCGAGGCAGAAAACTTCTTAAAATATCATGAGATTTTCGAAAGGACTTATTACTTATTAAGAAAACCATGCCATAAAAAATATATTTTTATTTTTCTTATAAAAATTTCTCTGACGCCTTTTGGCGTCGATAATAGTTAAGAGGTTAATATATATTAATCAACCATTATATGAATGTTCAAATAAAATACAATTTGGTTAGATATGTAATAAATATTTTAAGCATATAATATTGATCGTCTTATTGTATATGCACTTGAACATAATAACGATGAGCGATGTATATATATTTAATCATGATTGAAGTGTAGACTTGTATAATGATAAACATCGATTTGATGAAGTATAAGAATAACTCATATATTGCATGTAAATGATGATCATCATCGAATACAATAAGTGGATTTAGATAACTATCATTCAAACAACAATCTTTAAAAGAAATATAATTGAATTATCAGTGAAATACAACATTGGTTAGTATTCAAAAACATACGTCTATCACAACGATAGATCGTTTTTTTAATGTACTATGTCTAACAATAATCTTACAGTCTATTATTTTTTGTTGTAGGCATTGAATATGATTTGCAAACGTCATTTTCATGTGCTCAGTGACGAAGAACTCTATACCGTATCTTTAATCTATATACTCACATAATAAAAATTTCAAGTATGTTTATCTACACAATTAAATCATATATATGTATTCTAAATCGTTTTGTTATCGCAAAATTCGCCGTTAATTTCTTAACAAAATAAGATGTATGATATAAAGTTACTAAAAATCATATTTTTATTTTAAGTATTCATAAGCACAATATTTACATCAAATTATTTGGTATACTAGATAAGTGAGGTGTATATCTTCAAGCCGACATTATTATTTAATTGAAAAAAAAATTATTTTAAATTATACGTATAGACAAAGTATGACATAACGGCGACATTACTCAGAAGTGTATAAAAAATGTGAATCAGAGAATGTTGAATCGTATACGATGAGTTAAAAAGTTACATTATTTTAGTATCATCTATATGCATTTTGCTGAATAAGATGTAATTGTTTGACATAGAACAATTAAGTCTAAGTAATAAAATATTTGACTAGGTGTATTACTCATGAACTATCGTTTTATTATTATAATACGTAAAA